GTGTCTGCATTGGTTGGTTCCTTGTTGGTGGATGAAGGCAGCTGTGCTGAGAACACCCAGGAGCGCACAGCCCAAAGGGATGTGAAAACTCAGGTGGGAAGGCAGTGAGATATAGCGTGGGAGCAAAACACAGAGACTAAGAGAACATCCTGAAAGGGCCAGAGTTGTGAGATAGATGGGTTCCTTGAACTTCATTGAAGTTGTACTCAGAGTCATGGGTGAGAAAATAGCTTGCAGGAAAGAAAAGGGGTTATACAGCATAGTCAAGGGAGGACTGTCCTGGTGAGGTTGTGGAAAGAGGATGGTTTGGTTGAAGATAACCCTGATGTTGATGGCCCAGCCTGCTGAATGTTTTTTTACACAAAGGAGCAGTGCAGTACTGGACCCCAGGAAAGAAGTGGAAGCCTCTAAAACATATATGTCCCTTCAGGATCACCCTCCAGCAGGTTCAAGAAGCTGTAGTGTCTCAGTTGCCTCTAGGAGAACATTAGGCTTAAATTTCTCATGGATGCGAAGCCTTCCTGCTGCCACAATCTCTGTCCATCCCTGCCCAGCACCCTCCCAGTACAGTGAGCCACTGGTGTGAGCAGCAATGCTTACAGCTGTTCTGGCTGCAGGACCAGGGCTTGCTGAGCAGCAGGACGTGCACCACTGATGGCATGCAGGCAGCCGCAGAGCAGCGTGGAGCCAGGAACTGGTCATGACCGTGACCAGTGTTGGTGGTTGGTGCTGATACACAGAAGAAAGATATGATGCCCTTTGCTAGCAGATATTTGAGACCTGATGCAGAGCCAGCTGGAAGAACTTTGTACCCAGGGCTTTTGCTTTGACCTGGATTTTCCTTTGAAGAAGTGGAGCCTGCCAGATGAAAGCTTTGGAGACCCGACAGCTGGTGGAAGGCTGCTTGGCCAGCTTACACTGAAGGTGAAGTGTGCAGGAAGTTGTGTGTTGGCTGAGGAAGTAGAGCACCTCCCTGCAGCCAAAAAGTTATCTGCCCCTTCTCTCTGCTGCTCTGCCTTCCCTGCCCTTGTGAGGCCACTTGTTGTGTCCACTGGAAGCTGGAGAGAAGGGTCTCTGCCCTCATCTCTGTATATCTGAATCTGCAGTGCTCTGCCCTTGGAGCTGCAGGTACCCAGCTGCCTGTCTCTGTGCCCCCAGCCCATTAGGAGGTTGTCTTGTCACCATAAACAGGTATAGCTCTGCCAGAACACAGTCTCGCTCCTCTAATTACCAACAGGGTTATTAAAATTTACCGGTGAGGGAACAAACAGATGTCACCAGCGCGCTTACGTCTTTCTGGCTGCATGTGCGCGCATACGCTGTATTGATTTATATTTCCTTGCAAGCGTTTCTCAGGCCACCTCCTTGCGTCTGGCTGACATCAGTGGCGCGGTTGGTAGAGCTCGCCCACATCCATGCCTCTGCCCTGCAGCTCTGCTCTTTGCTGTGGGGCAGCAGGTCCCCAGTGAGTGTCCTGCCTGGCTACAGGAGGCTACCCAGCATACTGACGTGTAGCACGGGATGAGGGAGGCAGGGGGACCTCTTTCTCCCCCTCTTTCCTGCTGCATGGAAGAAAGAGAATGGGTGTGCATATTGCTGAATAAGAGACAAAAATGCCGTTGGCAAGGCTTTCTATGCTAGCCTTGCAGATCTGGGGAAGTCAGCATTAAACATATCAGGCAGAAGGGGAAGGCTGTGGGGTTGAATGGGGCCTCATCTGATGTCCTGCTGACTGTGCTGCAATGGGCAGTACTGCTTGTGCACAGTCAGGCTCTGCAGCTGGCCTTCAGCACCCCAGCCCTCGCAGTACTTCCCTGCCTGAAGGTTGGGATGGAGTGTTAAGAATGGGCACAAAGGGATGACCTCCAGAGAGGTCAGTGTCGTAGTGATGCCAAGGTGAGCTTCAACTGTCCTTTGCCTCTTTCAAGATTCAGCCAACTCATTTAACCATTCATGTCCTCTGCATCTAAGGGCAGCATCCTCTGAAGAAGGGGAGACTAAGAAGCATTTATGGTGGGGAGCTGTAACGTCACCCCAAAATGGCAGCAAGAAAGGTGCCAGTGGAAAGAGATGTTCCAGGCATCCCTTCAAGCTTAAAAGCAGTGTAAGCCTTGGGTGTATGCCTCAGTTTTTCCACTACAGGATGTTCTGGCTGGGCTACTAGACAGATTAGGAAGGTTCATTTCAGGTCTCTTCCAGTCCATTCTCTAGGACTTAAGAGAGAAAAAGGTACATCTTTGCTACCTGTGTCTCTGAAATGTGGCTTACGTTACCCATAGGATTGTTAAGTTTGTCTTGAATGTGTAATGGCTTATATAAATAATGTTCGAGTCACGGACAGTGGGAGCAAATGAACCTCATTTCTTTCAGAAGGGAGGAAATGAGGCTATAAAATATTCAGGAATTAGGTGAATGGTTTGGTCTCTGCAGAAGATCATATTTTCCTAATCTGTTGTGAGTCCTTCAGTATTTCACTGCAATAATAGTTGATAGGTAATACTCAGCCAGCTTCTGTAATTTGCTTGGATGCTTAAAAAACCTCTGAAATCACCCATAAAAGGCAGCAAACAGAGCCCTCCATTGGAGGAGGTGTAACATTCTGGACCCTTGGCCAGTTTTTGATTCAGAAACCTAGGACAGAAGCAGATGAGCAATTTGTTATGTGACAAAGCAGGAAGATGGGGTTAGTGTTGTTAGTGACCCCAAAAAAATGTGTATACGGGGTACATGAAATCTGCAGGTATCCCACAGATGTTCAGCTTTATCAAGATGAAACAACTCCCAAGCAACAAGATGCAGAGTGGTGTGAATGGAGGAGAAAACCACTACTGAGAAATGTGAAGCCCAGTGTATTATAAGAAATGATTTGTCCTGGGACATCACTGGTCTCTGAACTATTGCAGGTACTCAGGGCAGTGATGTGTGCTGACCATTCATAGAGATGCTTTTCCTCAAGGTTTATGGATGCAGGTAGAGAAATAAATCATGGTTGGATGCATGAGGAATTTTGTAAGAGATGCTGAGAGCATCAGAATGCTGTTCTGGAAGTCAAGGTCGTCTCCCACATCCGGGATGTTTTATGAACTTTTATGAACTTATGTTTCCTTAGGGTGAGAAGAGAGTGGGCAGTGTTTGGGGTGTGTGGTGAGTGGGATTGGGGCTGGAACATTGTGCCATGAGAAGTGGGAGGGGAGGAGCTTTGTTATGGGTATCATAGAAGGAGGCCTAGAGACAGCAATGGTTTTTGTTCTGTGCCTTTGCACTAACACGAGCAGTGGAGCTGCAGTGGGATAGTACGGTCTTTCACTCAACACTGCTAATATCTGGGACTTGTTGCTGCACCCTTTAAGACCTAAAAGTTTTCAAGATTCTCCAAAAGAGGAATTAGAAGCATTTATTTTTGCGGTGAGCCCTCTAGACTGGGACTTCAGAGAGGCACAGCCCTTTCTGCTCCCAAGCACGTGATTTCCCTGTGACAAGTCCTGGCCTGGTGATGATGCTCTCAAGAAGGCAGCTTGGTGGAGTTGGTGGCAGACCCCTGTGTCCCTTCTCTTCCTGTCAGCTGCTGTCACGTGTTGTCCCTGCTCCCGAGTCCCTCTCTGGTTCAGCTGGGGTGAATCCTGCTGGCCAGTCCCCAGCTAGTTGCCAGCTGCAACCTCGCAGCTTGGCTTCCTGCTGTTTTTCCGTTCCCTTTGCAGCTCCTGGCAGCCTCAGTCCAGCTCTGTGCCTGTGAATCTCTAAAAGGACTGCTCAGTGGCTTTTCCCATGTGGTCAATGTCCCTCAGTGCCTGTATGCAGGGAGATTTTACTTGTTGTGGTATGTCCACCCAGCTGAGCTGATCTGGGCTCTCTGGGCACTGCAGTGAGCTGTGTGGCAGTCATTAACCAGCCTGTGCTGTGTTGTGACACTGATAAATCACTGCAGCGAGGCAGGAGATTGCCAGGATGCACCTTGTGGCTTCTCTCTGCAAATGTCACTATCTCCTGTGGCATTAGGAGGGCAGGGCTGATGGTGTTGGCCATGCATACACCAGCAGGCTAGCACAAGGCAGCAGGATGGCTTGTTGGTGCTTGGGGCAAATAACACTCTGGAATAGGTACAGTCCTTCCACGGCTGATGGGGTTTCATCCCCACTGATCCACAGAATGATTGTGTTTCTGCTGATCTCTCCCTTCCAGAGCATCCCAGTTGTGCTCAGTTCACTCTTGATCATTGTAATGTGGTCCACTTTGCATTGCCCATTGAACTGCTCTGTGCAGGAGGAGCAAAATCTGTCCATCTCCTGTGATAGCACTGTGCTGGCTCTTGTACAATTCCAGCATTCTGGGGAGGGCACTGGGGAGGGGGAGAAATATGGTCAGCTAAACAGTAGGTCCTGAGTTTCCTCTCTGCCCTCTGCATAATACTTCCGAGTCAGAGGAAAGAAAGCAGGCAGGGGCGGGAGCATTTTCTGGTGGGGCCCTGGGAGCTGAGGCATGCAGTGAGCTGCAAGCGATGATTCAGCCTAATACAGCTAATGGCATGCAGCCAGACAGAGGAAATTGTGGGATCGTGATGCAGCAACTGTCCCGTAGCAGTTTGTTTCCATCATCCAGACGTGACTTAATACCACCTCACGCGTTCACTCTTTCCTGTAGCTAGATGCCTTCCCTGCCAAGGGGAAGGTGCTGAGACACTGCACCTTTGGGAAGAGGAGGGGTAGTCTGTGAGTGCTAAATGATGAGTCTGTGAGTGCTAAGTGAGAGTTGGGAGCAGGCGGGGAGATTCTGCGGTTGTGCCTGGTGGGAGCAGCTCATCAAAGACCCCATGAGCTCTTCCAGCACCCCTGAAAGCTCTCCAGATTTCTTTGCATGACCCTGTTCTTGGGCACTGGTTCTTAGAGAGCACCTATGGCAACAGGAGAACCCAAGATGGTGGTTGAGAGTGGTCCCAGCTCTAATGGGACAACACTGTTAACCAGCTGGTGTGTGCTAACCAGCCCTTTCTCTCTGTTCCTCAGGGAAGACGATGAAGCTGTAGAGATGCTTCCCTACGTGATCGCCACCCTGGGCTCAGCAGGGGCCACCTGCAAAACCTCCACATGCAGCAACAGCACCAAGGACTACTGCTACAGTGCCCGCATCCGCAGCACAGTGCTGCAGGGGCTGCCTTTTGGTGGGGTGCCCACTGTCCTAGCCCTTGATTTCATGTGCTTTCTTGTAAGTTTGCCTATGGTCACTTTGGCACCTTCCTCACTAATTAGTCCTGTAGGGAGAACTATGATCTGGTAAAAACTGAGAATCCCAAATTCCATTTCTGACTTTACTGCTAGCAGATTTTGTGGCCTCAATTGTGTCCCTTAACCACTCTGGGCCTTAATTCTAGTACCACTGCATTGAGCCTGTGGAATGGTGTTGCCAGTTTCTTTTTTCAGCAAGGACACAGGTCAGGTTAGGTTAGTCCCATGTCCCAGAATTCCTCCTTGTGATGCCAAGTCCCCACAGCCTTACCTATACAAAGGTTTTGCTTGGTCCTTGGCAACTGTGGGACTATGGACATTGTAACCACAACTTTATCTCCTTTGGTCGTGAGGACTTCTTGATCTTATGACTAACTTGGCTGTTGTGTGTTGTGTCCTGGACCTCAGTCTGCCTCTAACCACCTAGACAGACTCAGATTTTTCAGCTCTGAGGACTTTTGCTGTCCCGTGGCTTCAGTGTGCTGTTAGCTGAGCAGTCCTGTCCCCACCTGCCCCCAGTTACTGTGGTTCTGCAAGCAGACATGAGTAATGCCTTGTCTCACAGCTGTTTCTCTGCTCTCTTTCAGGCATTGTTGTTTGTCTTCTCAATTTTGCGTAAAGTTGCTTGGGACTATGGACGCCTGGCCCTGGTGACTGATGCTGACAGGTAAGCATGGCAGAGAGACAGGGAAAAGGAAGCACAAGCAGTACCTTTTGTTGCAGAAGGGATGAATCCCTTTGTGTGTGTCAGAGGCAGATGGAGAAGAGAGGAAGGCATGCCAGTTGTATCCCCTGAGCTCCAGAAACAGGGAAAGTCCCTGCTTACCAGCTTTTTTTGTTACAGCATCCTCCTACCAGTGCAGGGAGCAGTCTCTGCTGACTCCAGGAACTAAAGCTACAATGTCACCTTTGGTCCCTGTGCTGACAGAGCTGTACAGGGGCTGAAATGACCTGAGGAACAGCAGGCAGAGGTGAGGGAGGAGGGGAAAAAAGGTCACAGAAGGGGCAGGGGCTGCCGTACTGAAGTCTTTTAGCCTATGAAGGTAGCTTTGAAGGATGTAGCTCTTGTGAAGGGCACTTAGAAATGCAGCCTGCTGCTTCTAGGTGCCAGACTTGCTTGTAAAGTTGAAGCTGGATGGGCAGTAATGGGGATGGCTGGCATGCCTGGCTGGCAAGGTGAGCATGTGACACATGAGGCTGGAGCAGAGACCTGCCCAGGCGGTAGCAGAGCTTGAATAGCGAGTGCAAATGCTGAGTTCATCCCATGCAGCTCATTTTTTCCCGGCTGATGAAAGTGCTGGGTCACCCGCTGTTCTTTGCAGAAGGAAGAGTGACAGAACTACCACTCGTTGCTCCCCTGCTCTGCTTCACAAGACCTGTGATGAGCCTGAGAGCAGAGTGCAATAGGACAAGACTGCACAGACTGCTCTGCAGGGACAGAGCAAGGGTGGTGGAGGGGATATGCATCCAGTCATGTCTTCTAGCAAAAGCCAGGGCCTTTTGGCACTGGGGATCCTACACTGAAGGCAGATGCTTCCAGGAGTATGCCTTGTTGCTCCTCTCTTTGCTGTAAGCAGTGGGAAGAACAATTGGTTTCTTCTAGTGCTGAACGAGTAACTCCCCTTGGTGGTGGAGCTGGGGGGTTGTGCTCTGCGCTATGCGGTGTCCAGAGGAGGTTTATTGTGTGTGTGTTGTACTTTGTCACATGCTGGAGGCAGTGTGGCTTAAAGTTGGTGGTGGTTGGTGTTGCTTCTGCTTGATAAGTTCCAATAGCTCATGTCATCAAAAGGTTAGAAAAGAGCTGAGCTCCAGCCTGTTTGGTCCCTAGTTCAGATAAGTTTGGTACAAGTAATGCCAGCTAGTCTGGAATTTGCAGGAGGAGCTCTTGCTGCTGCAGCTGTCTGTCCTTGTGTTCTCCTACTGCTTGTCCCATCCATGGGGCTGGAATTTTTGACCTGGTACAGATGCATGTTGGCTGCCTGGGATGGGGAGGAGAGGGACAGAAGCTGGGTGAAGGAAGCAGAGAGCAGGTGGGTGGCTCATGCAGTCTGTGAGTTGCAGTGGCTCAGGGCAGCACTGAGCTCTGTAGGGAAGGTCTCCTTCTCCAGCCTTACCACCAGCAGGTTTCTCTTCCTCAGGACCACGTGGAGCCCTGTGATGGAGGGGACCTGGCGCCTGCTCCCCTGGTTGTAACCTCTCCCTTTCTGTTTCTGTGCCCCCAGGCATCGACGATGGCAGACGGAGCGAGAGGAGCGGGAATAGTATGTTGTTTTTTCAGGGTCTTTTTTATCCCTTTTGTCTCTCTGTTTCTTTTTGCAGTTTTCTCTCTTGCTTCTGAACTAATCTAAGTGGTTGGGAGTTCAGGGCTTGGATTTGTGTCTCTTGGTGAATTTGTGATCTTTTCTCCTCTTCCCCCCCACCCCTTTGTGTCAGCCACCTACCATAACTGGGTGCACCGTGGTTTTCCCCTCAGCCCTTAAATGCTCCATGTGTGCAGCAGTGTCTAGGAGCTGCTATTGAGACAGTGCCATATCATGCACCCTGCTGTACCTGCCTGTGACCTGCTATCCCACTGTGAGTATTGGGAAAGAAACATGACCCTACTTGGGTCACCCAGGTAGAGGGCAACTGCCTTTTCCTTGTTCATCCCTCATGCTGGTGAGCCCCAAGGGCTGTTCTCGTGGCAGGTGCACAGAGGTCATTACTAGGCTTTTCTTTTGCCTTGTGAGGCTTCCAGGACAAGAGCAAGTATTGGCCCTTGTCCCTTACCACCTACCCCAGGTTGGTAGTATTCTTCGCAAGGCAGCATCTTGTCCCTTCTCTCTTCTCCTGAGACTTTCCTGCCTCAGCATGGCTGAGAGCATCTTCCAAAACCTTGGCCTGGCTTTATCTGCAAGGTACTCATAGTGAGGACAGCTGGGCTGCCAGCTGAGCACTGTCACAGATCCTTCTTCCGTGTTCTTCTCTCTTTCTTGCTGCTTTTACACCCAGGTAAAAACCATTCCATTGCCTTGCCAGTGTGCTGAGTGACATGCTGCACAGTCAGCCAGGAGTGCCAGCAGAGCCTGCATTGATCACTCCATCACTTGCAAAGCAGTGGCCTGCTACTGTCTCAAGGGCGCAGAGAAGTCCTCCTATTTTCCTATTCTGCTCTTTACCTTCAAAGGGCAGAGCAATCTTGGCTGTGAAAGCAAAGGTGGTGGTAACTGTGGTGCATGGCACAGAGGGAATGCCTTGCTCACACTTAATGCTCCACTAGTGGACGGCCCTGCTTCAGATGTGTCTGGCAACTCTTGGATGCTAACGCACTGTAGGAGGGGTAGCAGAGCTGTCATGCTCTGAGGCTCAGAAGCAGCTTCTTAGTGGTGGCCATCTGTTATTCTCATGAGTGTTTCTCACTATCCAGGGATCATCTTCTTTCTCTTCCCATTACTCATCTGGGCTTGCTGAATCTCTCTGCTGCCCTCCAAGCGCAGTGCTTGAGCTGTGTTGGTTTTTGTAGACAGGAGTTTCTAAAAGCCTGTGGAGCGCAGTGAGGAAACCTCATCTTGCTCAGTGCTTTTCTAAATCTGGTAGCAGATTGCCATTGAGCTATCCTCCATGCAGAGGTGCAGTGGTGTGTAGTGGGTTAGAGACCCGCATGCAGACTGGCACTGCTAGTCACTGAATGTGCAGGAGCACGACCTCTTTAATGTGTCCCTTTGTCTGGAAGTCAGCAAGTACCCTCGTCCTGACATTTGCCAGAGCAAACAGATGTAGCCATCAGCTCTCTTAGTGACTCAGTCTGTGCCAAGAGGAGGTGGCAGCCCATTCCCACCTCTGTGTGTAAGGGTAGTGATTGAAAGTCCTTCAGGGCTTGCGGGCTTGCTGTCCACACAGCGAGCTCATGCATCACACCACAGCAAGCTGTCTGCACAGCTGCTTGGCAGCTTCCCCTCCTGATGCCTGGGGTTGGCAGTACCTCAAATCTAGTCTCCTTTCTTCTCTAGCAGCAAGCATGGAGAAGGCTTCTTGGGTCCTGCCTTAATCTCCTCTCAGTTCAGGGCAGCATCACCTCTTTCCACTCACTTTGTTAGCGCTTGGCTTTAGAGAGCCTCCAGCTAGATGCAGGTACCCCTCTGCAGCTCCTTCTTCATCCTCCCAGCTTTGGAAGGGCATGGCACCCTCTGTCTTCTCAGCATTGCTGATCATGTACATCCCCCAGGTATGGTCCATCCTGCATGGAGCTGTTAGTCTGATCTAACAAATGGTACCGTTTGCAGCTATCCCCCTCTAGTGCTTCCCCACTGTCTACTTTCCCAGTACTGAGGAGCCAGAAGCACCAGTGTCATCATGCTGGGGTCTCCTCAGGGCTGCAGGCAGCAGAAATTCACCCTCTCCCTTCATCCAGTTGCAAAGCCTCTGGGATTTCAGAGAGCTGAGGGTCCAGGATGTAGGTGTGGAGCTGTGTAGTTGCAGGCCCTTGTTCCACTGTCTAATCTTCTCTCCTGTAGTTCTATGACCTTCAGCTAATCTCTGTTCTCCTCTGGGTGTTGTTTCCAGCTAGAAACTCAGCAGGTGCTGCTCTGCTCTGAGGGAAGCCACGTGTACCATCCTTTTCCTTTCAACAGGGTCACAAAAGTCTTAGATTGTTAGCCATTCTGGAGTGTCACCACTTATCTCTAGTCTGTTTCTCATCTGTTTCTTCTGTTGGTTCTTGTCCATCTGATCCTTCTTTCACCTGTACTGGTTACAGAAAGACTGTTTTTAGTGTTTGCTTTACTTCTAGCTATATCTCATACTTCCAAGGTCCCAGCCTGATGTCATCTTGTCATCTTACAAGTGCTATTTTAGGTAACTGGACCATTCATTTTATCTTCTTTGCCAGCCTACCCATCACCTTCATTCATTTTGGGGACTATTATCTGCCTTGGATGCTAGCGCTGCCACTTCTTCATTGAGGTCCCTGCCTGTGTCTGGAGCGCAGCAGTCAGGGATATTTGCTTCTCGCCTTCCAGCCTACAGCCATTTGTTCCTATCTGCTTCCCTGCCGCCTTTCTAGGGACTCCCAGGCAGCAGACCCAGCCATGAGCGAGCAGCTGGGCTCAGCCTGGCTTCAATCAGCACACAGTGTGACCATGCCAGTAGTGTCTTTCCTTCCCTGGGTCTCCTCTCACTGATGCACTGGTATAGCAGTGATATGGGTCCACCAGCCTCCTATACTTCCTCTTCCCTGAGGCAGCTGAAGTCTGCAGAACTGGGTAGGTAGGGGTGCCCCAGGGATGGGAAGATGCTGCGAGGGCCTCTCGAGAGCTCTCTCCTTGGGAGCTGCTTTATGCCTCTTGGTACCTTTAATGCTCACCTCTGTGCTCATCTCTGTAGATGTGGTGCAAAAGGGAGAACAGGAGCCCTCAACTGAGCACCCCACTTGTAGCACTGTCTCCTTCACACATCCTCTTTCCTCTTTAAGCTCTGCACTAAAGAGACTTGATCTCTCCTCTATGGCAGCTGCTGCCAGCTCTTCCTTGCAGGGGCTTATGTGCCCTTCAGAGAAGGGGCACAGAGGGTGCAGCATCCATAAGCCCCTGGAGGCTTGGGAGCAGGCTCTGGGTGCTGTTTGTGCAGTGTTGACCAAGGAGGGGTCTCTGCTTACTGCTGCCTTCTGCTCTTTGAGGCTGTCTTGTCTCCGTCTCACCTGGGGCAAACTGACCTGAATTAACTTCTGGCCTGGGTGCCCTTGGTTCCTGGCTGAGCTGCCTCCTCTCACCTTTTAACTTTCTCCCTCAACATTTGTCATTTTAGCGTAGCCTCCGCTCTGCACTCTGACAACCACGACCGCTACGAGCGCCTCACCTCCGTCTCCAGCTCTGTGGACTTTGACCAGAGGGACAATGTGAGTAGCTGCAAGAGGCAAACTCCTTGCCTGTGGGCAGCTGGGAGACCACAGCTTGTGAGAACCAAGTGCTCTTCAGAAGTAGTTCTGCTTGCCCATTCCGAAGCCTTAGGTCCCACACTTTATAGTGTGACGGTATGGTACAGAGCCCAAGGCAACATAGTACTGCTTGGCTTCTGATCATGCTTTTAAACCGGTAGCTGTACATCTACCTGGTTTGATGAGCATCTGTTCTGTAAGCGGTCTACTCCTGCAATCCTCTCTAAAGGGTAAGTGCAGCTGAGTAGTGCGTGAAGTTCCCAGGAGATATGCCTCCACTAGATGTACTTTGAGAAGCACTGGCTTGGCTTGCTCTGTTCTTCAAGTCCCTGCAGAGCTATTGTCCAGGATGGCAGTTGCAGTACCACTGTGTGATTAATTTTCTGGACATCCCTTAGCTGTTGAGAGCTCTTAGGCTAACCAGGAGCCCACAGCTTTCTGGAGAGGCCAAGCTACCTGCTGGTGGGGGACAGCCATGTGGCAGAGTTGTGCCCTATGTAGTAGCATTGTCACCTCCTCCACCTAGGCCTTTCTGCAGCTTTGCACATTTTAGTAGCTGCTTGTGATCTGGGCTCCTTGTCCTCAGTCGTATCTGTGGGAGTTCAGGAATGCCAGCCTGATCTCCCAAGCCTTTGGAGGATGGAGCAGGAATAGGGGAGCATACAGTGACGTGAGACCTTTCTGTCTTCTTTCTGCACAGGGTTTCTGCTCCTGGTTGACAGCCATCTTCAGAATAAAGTAAGTGCCCCAGGATCTGCAGAGGGGGACTGTGTGAGGAGGAAGAGCAGTGTGGGGCATTGGAACAACAGTCCAGTATAGCAGTGTGAAGTCACTGTCCTTTTTTGCACTTCAGAGAAGGGGCTGCAGCAGAATGTATGGAGGGGACAAGCAAAGGCAAGGATAATACAAATTGTGCCAGAGCCAAAACTAAAGTCGCACAGCCAGTTTGTGACAGAGATGGCTCAACCCACATCTCCCCTATCCCCAGTCCTATTTCAGAAACACTGCAGAAGTGCTCCCTTCCCTGTGGTTCCTGCTAGGGGCACTGTTGTGTAAAGGTTTCTGGCATGAAGGGTGGACTGTAGGAGGCAGGGAGATGCTGCCAGCTGTATGGCACTCGGGAGCAGTTTCTTAAGCATTTCTGGGATCAGGGCATGCAGGGATGATTGTTAGATGTGGGTGTGTGTGGGTCCAGCTGCCCATTCCTGGTGGCAGAAGACAATGTGTGAGGAGCAGAGCTGCAGCAAGCTTTGCACAGATAGGCTTCTGCCTGAGTTGGCTCATGGCCAGATGCTGGAGTCAATGCCCAGGGCATGTCTGCAGTTCTGCAGGGTGTGTGCCAGGCGTGCTGTGTACGTTCAAACCAACTGCATGGGCAGCCATCACCCTGTGCTTTTCTGCATTCCCTCCAGTGCTGGAAAAGATTGATTGCCTTTCTTTCCCCGGCAGGGATGATGAGATCCGGGACAAATGCGGAGGTGATGCAGTACACTACCTGTCCTTCCAGAGGCACATCATCGGGCTGCTGGTGGCTGTGGGTGTGCTCTCCGTGGGCATCGTGTTGCCTGTCAACTTCTCAGGGGATCTGCTAGGTGAGTGCAGGGAGTCATGTGGAGAAGCTGCTTTCAGTGCCAGGCCTCAGTCCTCCAGTGGGTAACATAGATGAACCTGACTCCTGTCCCACTTTGGGCATGGAGTATCCAGAAGATTGTCCTGGGGAGCTTAGGTTTTTGGGGTGCTTTGCAGGTGAGGTTCCTGCTATACCATGCCTCACTGGAGCTCTGCCACAGCCCATCAGTATAACTGAATGTATCTGTCTGCTTCTTTCTCCCCAGAAAACAATGCATACAGCTTTGGGAGGACAACGATTGCTAACCTGAATTCTGGGTAGGTATGGATGGGAATTGGATGGATAACTGTGGCTCTCAGGATGCATCTTCTAGATGCTTACCTGCTGCAGAGCCTTTCCTCCTTGAAGATTGTGTTTCTGCCCTCCCCAAAAGGCTGCTACCCCCTTCCATGTTGAAGTCCTGGAGGTTGTTGGCAGGGCATGTGTATGCTGTGCCAATTACACTGCTCAAGGCCCCAGAGCCTTTGGAGAAGGGGTCCCTGAGAGACCTGTTCGAGTTATAGTGGCAACCTCATGCTGGCTTTAAGCACTCCTCTCTCTTGTGTCAGGAATAACCTGCTGTGGCTGCACACATCTTTTGCCTTCCTTTACCTGCTGCTGACAGTGTACAGCATGCGCCGGCACACCTCCAAGATGCGCTACAAAGAGGATGACTTGGTGAGTGGGGTGTGAGCACTGCCCCAGGCACAGCTTTTCATGGCCCCCTGTCAAGTTGGGTGGCCTGGGAGAGGGTGTCAAGCACTCCCCTTTCCATAGCAGTTTGGGGCCGTTGTGGTTTGTCTCCTTTGTTCTGCCTGGCCAAAGGGAGACTCCTCTGAAGCAGCCGATCTTGATGCCACCTGGAGAAGTGAGAGAGGTCTGAGCTGAGTGAACGTGTGTGGGGGACTCATGTTTAAAGGGTTGCTCCAGCTGCTTTATGGGTTTGGAGCTGTACTTTAGCTGTCTTTGCTTTTTCTACTTCTTAACACCATTGTTTCTGTTCGGGCAGTTGCAGTGTGAGCTCCTACCCCATCATTCTGTAGCACATCACATGTGGAGTGGCAGCAGCTAGTAGAAGCATAGGAGACAGGGAGCAAACCTCCCCAAAGTGTCTGGAATACCCTTCTATTGCTAACTCAGGCCCAAGTCTTGTTGTTTTTTCAACTTTTTTTTACTTCAGTCTGATCTTTTACCATCCACACCTATCTTCATTTTCTTCCTTTCAGGTGAAGCGAACTCTCTTCATCAATGGGATTTCAAAATATGCTGAGCCAGAAAAGATCAAGAAGCATTTTGAGTGAGTCTCACTATTTTCCTAATCAAAGGCTGCTCTGTAACAGGAATGTTTTTAGTGGGGTGGTGCTGATGTTGCCTGGAACAGCAATAATACGTTGAAAATCCTGGGGCAGAAGCTGGTCAAAATCAGCGAACGCTCTTATTTTGGGCACTTTGCTGCTATTTTCCTGTGTGAATTTTTATCTCAGTGTGCACTGTGTTGGGACATGCTGAGCTATCTTTTGCAGAGCCATAGGGGGTCAGCATGGTACATGGTGGGATAGGGCACATCATGAAAAAGCTGTCAAGCTCATAGAAGTGAGATGCCGGCAGGAGGCACTCCAGCAGTGACAGCGGGATGCTGTGCTGTCGCTTCTCTGTTGGCCATGCTCTTTGTAGAAGAGTATATTTTTCTTCTTAACCAAAATCAGAACAAGAAGTCATCGTCTTCCATTGGAACCTGAGTAAAAACTGTGAGGGTAGTGTCTAGAAGCACTATAGAGAAGGGAGTTGATGCCATGTATGACAAGCAGCTATTTTCCATCCACAGGGAGGCCTATGCCAACTGCACTGTGCTGGAAGCACGTCCCTGTTATGATGTGGCTCGGCTGATGTTTCTCGATGCTGAGAGGTAACCAGCCCATAGCTGGGGATAGAAGGGTGGGGTGGGGAGTCACAGAAATTGGAGGTGGGAGTTCTTCTCATCCACTTCTTCAAGTCTGGTGCCATGGAGGTTTTCTGAGACACCTTTCTTTCTCTTCCCCTCTCCTGCTTCAGGAAGAAAGCTGAGCGCGGGCGAATCTACTTCACCAACCTGCAGAGCAAGGAGAACACCCCATCCATGATCAACCCCAAGCCCTGTGGTCACCTGTGCTGCTGTGTCATCAGGGGCTGTGAGGAGGTGTGAGGAGAGCTGGAGGCACTGGGCAGAGGGGTACTGTGGGCACTGGGTCCCTGTGCTGCCCACGCTGACTTGCAGCATGCTTGGGTCCTGCTGGCCATCCAGTCAGGGACCAGGAGCGTATCATAGCTCTCCTGCCACTCAGCTACAGAGCTGCTGCCCCATAGCTTAGCGTAGGTTGTCTTGACTGCCTGCTGTGATGCTGTGACAGCTCTAAGGGGTGAGGTCCCCAGGTCTTTGCCCTGATGCCTGTCCCTCTGCCCAGGTGGAAGCCATTGAGTACTACACTAAACTGGAGGAGAAACTCAAAGATGACTACAAGCGGGAGAAGGAGAAGGTGAATGAGAAGCCTCTGGGGATGGCCTTTGTCACCTTTCATAATGAGACTATCACAGCCATGTGAGTACTGCAAGAGATCCTGTCCTTCCCAGGATGGTGGTATCTCACAACTCTCTTTTAAATCAGAAATCCCAGCCCCAAGACATCCACATCAGCTTGTTCCTGCCCTGGCCCTCTGTGGCAGCATCTCCCTTGTTCCCTTCTTTTCCAGAATCCTCAAAGACTTCAATGCTTGCAAGTGCCAGGGCTGTGCATGTCGCGGGGAGCCCAGGGCCTCGTCCTGCAGTGAATCTCTGCACGTTTCCAACTGGACTGTCAGTTATGCCCCTGACCCACAAAACATTTACTGGTGAGCAGAAGTGGGGCTCAACGGGTCTGTAGAGATTTAAAAAAAAAAAAAAAAAAAAAAACGCATCCTCACAACAGAGGGTGGTGTTCTTGCTGAAGGCTGGCTTGCCTGAGCTAGAGATCTGATCCAACTTTGGAGGGGGAAAGCCTTAAATTCATTTCCCAAGCTCTGTTCACACAGGCTTGGCTGTATTGTGAGTATGATGTTTGGTGTGGTTGTTTTTGACGCCTTTTTCTTTCATCCTCCCAGGGAACATCTCTCCATCCGGGGCTTCATTTGGTGGATCCGCTGCCTGGTGATCAATGTGGTCCTCTTCATCCTCCTTTTTTTCCTCACCACCCCTGCAATCATCATCACCACTATGGACAAGTTCAATGTCACCAAGCCTGTGGAGTACCTCAATGTAAGGCCTTCGGGGAGGGGTGTACAATGGGTAGCACTGAAGCCACCCCAAGGCACAAAAGCCCCTGAAAGGGAGTAAGTAGCAAGAGAAACTGGCAGCATATCCCAGGTCCTGTCAGCCTGAGAACAAAGGAAAGGTTGTTCAGGAGAGGGTTGCACATCATGTGCCCCATCAGCCCTCCAGTATGGGGGTGCTGAGAGTGGCTGGGCTGGGCTGCATTGTCATAGAGGCGCTGGCACTGGGAACTCTGCATCAGTAAATGCAGCACCTGTGATAAGTATGAGAGCTGCTGCATTGTGCGTAACACACAGTCTCTTCTCTGTCTTGTTGCAGAACCCCATCATCACTCAGTTCTTTCCGACTCTGCTGCTGTGGTGCTTCTCAGCTCTCCTGCCCACCATTGTGTATTACTCTGCCTTTTTTGAAGCGCACTGGACCAGGTAGGGACAGCCAGTGCCTGTTCTTGGCTTGTTGCCTGGCATCTTGATACTTCTCACTAATGCAAAACTGTGATCAGCTCGTCTTGCTTGGATTGCTGTCTTCATTCCAAGTGTGGTGTCATGTGGCACCTTTTGGTCACCTTGGGGCCTACTGTGCTCAGCTCTGCCAGCCATTAGCTGGGTAGTGGGGTTCAGCATGGGCTTATATTGAGCAGAGAGTGATATGCTTCTGCAGGAAAAGTGGGAGGAGCTGGGGCCAATGCCTTTGAGAAATGCTAGTAGCAAGGGAAGTCTTGGCTAAGGTAAGTGTGCAGGTGTGGTTTGCCTATACTCATGAGGAAGTCATCACTTTTTCAAGGAAAAATTGTGTTGGCTGCTATGCTTCTGGCAGTAGTGAATGGATTTGACTTGCAGAGCACTGGCAAATGTGCTATTTGTGAGGTATATGCACAAGACCACTCACCACTTGTGTGGTGGGATTCAGGGCTGCTAGGCAGCATTACCCTTCTCCAACCGTCCAGGCCCCACCATGTGTTAAAACATAAACTCTTTCAGCTGGCATTTCTGGCAGCTGCAGATTACTGAAGGTAGCTTTGTCTCTCCACCACCCCCCTTTCCCCCCCCCAGAAAAAAATTCTCCTGCCTTCTCACCTGCCTTCTGCTTTCTCTTGCTGTTGCCTCTGTCAGCCCTCTCTTATAGCAACCTCCCTGTGGCCAGGCAGGGCACACACGTGGAGCTCCCAGTCTCTGCTATATGGGGGCACCCTGTGCTGGTGGGGTGACAATGTTAACAGCTTTCTCTCTGCCCCCAGATCTGGAGAGAACAGGACCACCATGCACAAGTGTTACACGTTCCTCATCTTCATGGTCTTGCTGCTGCCTTCACTGGGCCTGAGCAGGTAAGTGTGGAGGAGAGGGTAAGAAAGTGCAGAAACCTGGAGTGTGGAGGTGGTTGAGTTGCACCTCTGGTGGTTCTCCTGCAGCACTTCCTTGCTCTCCTTATTTCTATACAAAGCTAGTGAATTCCTCCACTTCAGCCAGAAGCGAGTGGGCTGTACTGCTTGGCTGGGTGGTCTTCCTATTTGTAGGCTGCAGGAATGCTAATCCTGCTGGATGTGAGCCCCAAATCTTCCTGTAGAGGCTATAGAAATGCCCTGTGGGACATCAGCTGCCAGACATCAGTATAGGCTCAGCACTGAACAAAGACAAAACAAACTGTGAGAGAGAGAGAGAGAGAGAGAGAGAGAGAGACTGGAGAGGAAATCTGGGAGGTAGAAGCAGGGTGATGGGAGAGTCTACTCTGATAGGAGTTTCTTTATGTATTGTAGGATGGGAAATCTACACCCCATAAATTCAGGATACAGCTCCTCAGTGGCTAAATGGGCCAGTTCTGATAGGGAATAGAGAGGTCTTTTAACAGAGGCAGAATAATGATCCTCCATCCTAATGGTGACTACAGTAAGGTTTCCCAGTCAGATTTAAAATGTCTTGTTGCTTATAACTTTGTGACTTAAGCAGATGAATGCTCTCAGAAGGTTACATTTCAGCTATATACCATTAAGCATGTTACTCTTCCCTCTGAGGACAGAATCCATCCCACTGCTGTGTGTGGAGCTCAGTAGTCCACCAGAATCATGGCTCTGGAGGTGCCAGAAGATTGTACAATTTTTGTCAAAATAGTGTAGAACTGGAGAGAAATGAGATTATTTTTTCCTCTTATCTCTCTTCTTGATGTTATGGTGTACCTGAGTAGTTTCTCCTGTAGTCAATCACCAGTTCCTTTCAGGGTTGTTTCAACCAAGCAGCGGAAAGGAAAACAGCGATAGGATCAGGGCAAAAGGAGAACATGCATGAGAATGGAAAGCTTTAGATCCCTTTAAGGGTGTTGTACTGTTTTTCCCAGTGTCTAATTTACATAATTGCCAATGACATATCCCAAGAAGGAACAATAAGGTCTGTGATCAGAGCTTTGGGTCTTTTTAGAGCAGTTTCCATATATTTGCATGTCTATGTCTGTGTAAGCTGCTTCTGACTGTTCTTTTCTTCTCACCCCCCTTCCCTGCAGCTTGGATGTGTTTTTCCGCTGGCTGTTTGACAAAAAATTCCTTGCTGAAGCTGCAGTGCGATTTGAGTAAGTGGAGCAGGGAAGAAAGCCCTTGCTAATGATGGGGGAGCATCCAAAGGTGGTAACCAGGTCTTGGTCCCTTCTGTGCTGCGGGAGCATCTCCTGCAATCTGCTCTCATTGCGCCTTCCCAGGTGCGTGTTCCTGCCAGACAATGGGGCCTTCTTTGTCAACTATGTCATCGCCTCTGCTTTCATTGGGAATGCCATGGACCTGCTGCGCATCCCTGGCTTGCTCATGTACATGATTCGCCTTTGCCTGGCCCGCTCAGCCGCTGAACGGAGAAACGTCAAGCGAGTAAGTGGTGGTGCTGGGGAAGGTAATGGCCTGCACCCAGGGCTGAAGGTGCTGCGGTGGGGTCTGTGCATTCTGGGGCTTGCCGAGTGCTGGGTATCTTATACCCTGTTCAAAGTAAAAACAGACAGGTCTCTGCTCTCCCCTGCAGCACCAGGCCTACGAGTTCCAGTTTGGGGCCGCTTATGCGTGGATGATGTGTGTATTCACTGTGGTCATGACCTACAGCATCACTTGCCCCATCATTGTCCCCTTTGGTGAGTGACAACCCTTTGCCTCTGCACAGGAAGTATTTCCTCTTGTCCAGAGGCACTGGGAAAGAGGTCAATGCCCTTTTCTGACACCTCTCCCTCAGGGCTCATGTATATGCTGCTCAAGCACCTGGTGGACCGCTATAACCTGTACTACGCCTACCTGCCTGCCAAACTGGACAAGAAGATCCATTCAGGTGCTGTGAACCAAGTAGTGGCAGCCCCCATCTTATGCCTCTTCTGGCTTCTCTTCTTCTCCACCATGCGTACAGGTAAGTGCTAGGCTGGGAAGTGTCTAGCTGAACATCTCCCCTGGCTGCCTTCTTTTAGCAGCACCACATCGTCTGTTGGGCTTTGGCACCCTAACACTGATTTCTCTTCATCCCAGGGTTCTTGGCCCCAACTTCTATGTTCACTTTTGTGGTTCTTGTGATCACCATTGTGATCTGCCTATGTCACGTCTGCTTCGGGCACTTCAAATACCTCAGTGCTCACAACTACAAGGTGAGGTGGGATGTTGGACAGGGGCTCAAGGGTATGGGAGCCCTTCCCTTGGGAGCACAGCCAGTCAGTGACATAGGGGGATTTAGGGCAGAGGGGGGGATGTCTCTGTCTGTTCCTTGGCAGTGTCAGCTTCATGGGGAAAGTTCCCAAAGCAGTCTGAAGCTGTAGCCATCATTGCCATGTGTATGCTGCTCCCATACCCGCTGAGAGTTTGGAGACAGTCTCACTGGAATGCAGCTCCTGCAGCTGTGTTGTCCTGGCATTTTCTGCATTTCTACTTTCTTCTCCAGATTGAGCACACAGAGGTGGATGCCACAGAAAGCAGGCAGAACGGGAGACCTGCCACCAACCTGCCAGCTCCCAAATCCGCTGTGAGTCCCTTTTTCCATCTCCACACCCTGGTATGCTCCTTACCTGGGTTTAAGAAAGAGGAGGTAGTACCTGCGAGTCTTTCCTTCTTGCCCAAATACCTTCCTCCTTGCCTTTCTGAGGCAGTAACCAAAGTCTCTCAATGACGGTAGGAATCAAGTGTTGGGCTCTGTGCTCCTCACCTACATTGGGTGATGAATTGCATTATATATGAATTGTAACTCCTCCACATGCACTCATTTCCTTCTCCTAGAATGCTGGACATGTACTTTCTGCTTCTCTCTTGGCTAGGGCAATAAATCCATCTGGGCCGGTCTCCCTTCTTACTCAGAATCTTTAGGTTTTGTGATGCTGTCCACCTTCTTCCATGTAATCTGGGGTGAAACCCTTCCATACCCTCCCAACATGTCCAACACCCAACCTTTTCCCTGAACAGTGCTTCTCTCCTGCTTAATCCCCTGGGCTGCAGGAAGCACTGCAGACTTAGGAGTGTTTCTTCTTTCCCCTGCTCTTTCAGAAGTATATCGCCCAAGTGCTGCAGGACTCCTCCCCAGAGGGCGAAGCAACTGAATCGGAGGAGCAGGGATCACAGGATGAGGAGCTCATCACTACTGATGGCATGAATGACACGGATTTCCAGTCGTGTGAGGACAGCCTGATAGAGAATGAGATCCGCCAGTAGGGACTGCAGAGGGAGGGCAGGAGGGAGGGAAGGGATGGAGTCCCAGGAGCAGGGCAGGCTGCGCCCACTGCAAGCAGGAGAGAGAAAGCGTAGGGAGCTCAGAGCTGAGGGGGCCAGCCGCTACTCTCGCCCACCTCCAGGGCCACTACCTTCAGCGAGGGCAGGGGCCCTGCTGCCAGCTCTCCATTTCCCTGCCTCCACTGCTGCGCTGCCTGGCCCCTCTGTGGGCTTGCTCCTCACTTGCCACCTTCGTTAATGTGTACCCAGACTGTAAACTCCTAGAGGCTGAGGAGGAGGGAGACCGTGACCCTGCCAGCACCTCAGGAGTGGAAGGAGGCTGGGTGCTTTATGGAGGGGTCTCAGGCCAAGGGGCTTCTCTAGTGTTTCCTCAACTACTCTCTCTGTCCTCCTGGCAAGGAATGCAAACACTAATTTATTAGATTTACATGAAGATGAACAAAAAGCTTTAATCAGTGTATTGGAAGATGGGGTGGCTTTGTGCCACGTGCCCAAGTAGTGCTGCCTTCCCTTCTCCCATGTTCCTCGCTCAGCCTCTTGTGGCATCCTCTGGGTGTGACATCCTAGGCGCTGGGGGGGGTGAGGATGGTGTCCCTCTTTTCTTTCCCCCCCCCCTGTGTGCGGGGCTGGGGGGACTGGTTGAACCCAGGAGAGCAGCACAGGGCAGCCCCTCACTGGGTGGGAAGTGCTGAAGGTGCTCTCTCCCAGGCAGGAGGCGCAGGCAGCCTCTCTCCACAAGTGCATCCCCCTCCTTCCCCAGGTGTGCAGGTGGGGGGTTGCAGCATCATTTTAAGTGGCATTTTTTGCACATTTTCCTTCTCTTTCAAACACAAATCAACCTGACCTCTGTGTGGTAACTGCAGTCCTCTCTGCTGCCCGGTGTGTATGGAGCAAGGCTAGGCGTGGGGGGACTGTACTGGGGAGCTGCTGGGTGCTATGGAGAGGGGAGAAAGGGGCCTGGACCATAGCATCCTCAACACCATGCAGTGTTGGGCTGCTTCACCTGCCCAGGGCTCTTATTTCCTTGCCTCTGACTTTGTCCCCTCTCCAGTGATAGCTGTGTCCTGGGCAAGGAGGGGGCAGGAAGGATTGGGATAGGGGTCTGGACTGTCTGAAGTTGAGTGCAGGCAGGAGAGACAGATGAGCCCCTGGCACTCCTGCTTGGAGGTTTTTGTGAGGAGGTTTCTGGTTAGCATCAGTGGCTCTTAATTGCTTTCCCCCTCCCCTTGTGTAAAGTGTAAAGGAAAAATAATCTCCCTGCTACAGAGCTATATTTATTTCCCTCAACCCCCTGCCACCATCCTCTTTGGTGCTCATTGCTGATACTGCTCCCTTTGGCTCTGCCCGTTGTGGGTGTGCTCTGGTTTCTGGAGCTGGACCCAGCCACCCTCTGGGCTCCCTCAGACCAGGAGGAAGGGACAGTCATTTACCTTTCCAATCACCAACACAGGCCCTGGAGCTCAAAGCACTTTATGGACCTGAACAACTGAAGCGTTCTGCTGTGGAGAAAGGTGATCACTGGCACTGGCTTTTCTCCCTCTTGCTCTCCTTAGAGGAGTGGATTCTGCTCTTCGGGGCTGCTGCGTGAAGGATGGAGCTGCCTTTCCTCTACATCTCTCTATAGGACCCCAAGCCCAGAGGAAAGGGAGGCAGAGGTGAAGAACTGTGGGTCCTGGAGCGGTGGAGATAGAGCACACACAAGTGGGGAGAGGCACAATACTTGTAATAAGTCTACTGCAGGAAAAGGCTCAACGATAGTGGTTGGTGGTCTGTGTCCATGCCCCCTACCCCGGGCTGCAGGCTGGAGGCTGGCTGGGTGCTCCAGCCCTGCTGTTGGGATGCTGCTCGCAGAGGGCTGAGTTGGGTTTGGCACTGTCTGTGTAGAGATGTGTATAATACCCTGTATATATTTGTGTACAAAAGGAGGAAAAAAAAAAAAGGAAGAAAAAAAAATCTATTGTTCTTGCAGTCTGTGTGTGGCAGTGGAGGGGAGGCTGCAGTGGGGTGTGGGAGCATACGTGCTACTACTAGGGTGGGGGGGCTGCATCCCCCCCTGCGTGTGTGTGTCCGTCTGTGTCTGTCCATCCTGTTCTCTGACCTGTTGCCAACAGCGCAGGGCTGCGGAGCAGGCCTCATACTCTGAGCTGCCTCTGTTAAAACAGGGGAAGGATGGTTTGGGAGCAGAGCAGGAGGGGAACTTGGGGGGGGGGAATCCCATCTTAGAGCTCTAAGCAGCTGCCCTGGGTGGCTTTGCTGTTGAAGCTCTGCTGTCTATGAAGCGTGCAGCAGCAGGGCTGTTCCCAGGCAGCCAGGGGCCTGGCCTTTGGCCAAACCCGCTGGTTGAGTTGTGTAAGCGGCTGCTGCCTGTCCCGGCAAGGTGTGTGCTAGCCCAGCTCTGACCTCGGTACCCCGCTCCCTTTCACCCGGGCACTAACAGCCCTCGTTCCTGCGGGTAGGAACTGTGGGGCAGCTCGCAGCCAATGGACAGGGAAGGGGCAGCACGGGAACACACAAAGGGGTATGGAGACGAGAGCGAGCGTAGCACCTGCTGCCACGTTCCTGTGGGTATGGCGGGGAGGGAAAGCTCGGGAGGTGGCAAGGACGGGGAAGGAAGCTGCTCGCAAGCACGGGGCACGACACGGGGCGGCCTCCGCGGAGGGATTACATCGGAGCTCTGAAAGCGGCTTAAAAGGCCGTGGAGAGGCGATGAAGCGGGGCCGGGATGAGAGAGGGGGCACGGCAAGGAGGTGCGGGGCTTGGCCGGAGCCGAGGGGGCCGGGACAAAAGCCGGCTCAGCGATCCGGGCACAGACAGAAGCCGGGACGAGGCCTCCGGGCGCAAATCCGCCGGTCCGAGCGCATCCCGCCGCCCCGCTCGGGGGGTGGGCCGGGCAGCAGGTAGCAGCCGAGCCCGGCGCTGCGGGCGGCACCGCCCCGCATAGCGGCACGCTGAGTCACGGCGGGGCGGCTCCGCGCTGCGGGGCGAGCGGGGAGCAGCGGGCCGAGCGGCCGCTGCGCCTTTAACTGCCCGGAGCTCCCCCTGCCCGCGGGCCGCCCGCACATCCTGCCCGCACTAACCCCTCCTCCGCTGCGCCGAGCCGGGCTGGGCGGCGGCGGCTTCCGCGCCGGGCGAACGGTAAGTGCCCGGCCCTCCTCTCCCCTCCCCTCCCTCCTCTGCGCGGTGGGCCCGCGGCGGGAGGCCCCGGGGGGGTGATCCGTCCCGTCCCGTCCAGCTGCGGGGCTCCGGGGCGCGTTGCCCCGCCCGGCCGCGTGGGAGCCGCCCTGCCCTCGGGCGCGGAGCTGAGGCCTGCGGGCCGGGCCTGCTTGCGGACCCAACCCCTCGGGCTGCGGGGTCCGGGGTTCCGGACGCGGGCATTGCTGCGGGCGGCGCTGCGAGCGGCCAGAGCGGCGCGGGGCCGACGCGTCCCCGCCGAGAGCGGCTGGAGGCCTGCAGAGATTGCGGGCGGTGCTGTCCGAGGCTCTGCGCGGACCGGCGTGTCGCAGTGCCCCCAACGCGGGGGGACCGGGGTGTCTCCAGCGCTGCGTCCTGGTGCGGCTGGAGGTAGCTCTCCTCTGCAGCTTGGCTCTCCTCTGCTTGGCTGCGCACCTCCTCCTGCCCGCTGTGTGCCCTCGGCATCCACCAGCGTCTCCGTGGGGAAGCCCCCTCCCATGGTCCCATTGCTGCCCGATGACCCACACGGCTCCTGTCGCACCCTGTGGTCTGCGACGCTTTCCCGTGCCCTGCGCTCGTGTGACCTCCGCCTGCCACCCAGCGCAGCCTGCCCAGGCGCTCTGAGTAACAGGGCTAAGAATAACCGGCCTGGTGCCACAGCCCGGCTGTGTACGGCTCTGTGCTGCGGCCCTGCCTGGGGCTGCACTGTGAGGGGAGGTTGCAGGGAGGGGGATTCCCCTCACTGCTGGGTGCTGTGCTTGGGTTCCTTGTTCTGCGGCCCTGCTGGGCAGCAGTCAGGAGGAGTCGCCCTTGATGGCAGCGTCCTGGTTGCCAAGCAGGAGTCAAGTGAGAGGCACAGAGTTGGCAGTTCCATAGATTTGGGACTGTTGTGGAGGAAAGACAAGGGACTGAGACCGCCTTTGGGATAGGAGTGGTGGAGTAGAGCAGATGTTCTTTCTGGAATGCTGATGAGGACAGGCCTTGGGATTAGCATCCATGTCTGTGACCCATGAGCAGCACAGCGCATGCCAAGAGCTTGCACCCTGTTTGGTGCTACCTGCGTTCCCGTGGCTACTGCACCACTTTGGGACAGGCAGAGGCCTCTCCAGAGCCAGGGTGCTGGGCAGGCAGCGGGACAGCCCTGCTATCCACACCACTGCTCTTGGGGGTTGCTGGTTTTGCCAGGGTGAGAGCAGATGGGTCATACACTCAAGGGTCGCTCTGCTGCCTTGTGCACGCCTTGGGGCGTGTGGCTTTACGAGCAGGAGCTGGGACAGGCAGGCTGCATAGTCCTGCTCCTGGGCTTGAGTCAAGTCACCCTGAGCTCTGGGGAAGGGCTGTCACACCTCTTCCTTCCCAGCGCCCCACAGATAGAGCTTCCTCTGCTCCCCGGAGGGCTCCTCCCTTCCCGTCTTGTTGACTCAGTGCTTGGGCAGCCGTGGGCGGCTGTCTAGGAGAGAAGCAGCCCTGCAGCTGCTTATGCTCATCAGGCAAATAGGATAGGGAAGGTGCCGGTGACCAGAAAGCTGTCCCCGTGAAGAGGCTTAGCTGCAAGGCATACAGCTGGATGAAGTGATTTTCAGAGGCAGAAAGTGCTTGGAATTCCTCTTCACTCAGTTCTCATGCGCAGAGGGAATGGGGAGGCTCCTCACAGCAGCTGGCAAACTATTTCTTTCCAGCCCATTGTCAAAGCGGCTCCACTCATTCAGCCTCCCTGAAGGCACTGGGAGCGTGACGGCTGGGCTGGAGGCCATGGCCTGCTTCTGATCAGAAAGGCACCACTGTCTGCACCGGGCATGGGGCCTGGGGAGGCCTTCCCAGCCCTAGATCCTCACAGTGCGTCTTCCCATCCCAGGGATGCTTTTAAGGACAGGCCATGCCCAGCCCCAGCCTCACAGTGCTCATTTCATTGCAGGACACAGAGGTGGAGGTAGCAGTGCCAGTACCCAGCTATGATGCCCTTTGGGGGGATTGCTGCCCGGCTGCAGAGAGACCGCCTGAGAGCCGAGGGG